CTGTTACATATGGTTAATTAAGTCAACAAAAACCTAAATAGAATTTAAGGTCAGAGGGGGTAACTGTAGCCATCCAAAATCACTTTTCCCGTAACATGGACTATAGAGTGCTGTTTGACACCTTTGGGATCATGACAGAGCTGGGACATGAGCTGAGGCACAGCCTTTGAGAATTGCATTCAGTCTTGGCTTTCAGACTGCAAATGATGGCAAATCTATTGCAATCCCCAATCAAATTGCTTCAGCCAATAATCATCCTCACTAAATGTGTTAAAAATGTGCACCTTGCCTCTACCCTGATTTCTCATATATTCAGTTTTTAGGCACTGAAGTTTTTTTAACTTGACCTGAAATAATAAAAGTAATTTGTTATAGAAAATTTTCCCCCTATAAGGGAGGATCCTTCTGTTGCCCTCTGCTCAGCTGAGGAACTTTCCCAGACATAATTTCTGTAATGCATTTCTGACAATTTTCCAATTGCTCATATTTACATATTTATTTTTGTTTGAAATGTGAAGAGCAGAACCTGACCTAGTCTGCATGGATTTTTCTGTCCCACATAACTTGGTGATGCCAGTAATCTCCCTCCTAGCCCAGTACTTTCTCATGGCTATACACCTGCTCCTAATGTGCAGTGACTTCCAGCCTCCTCCACCTCTACCACTACCTCTTCTTCTCTATTTTAGAGCCTGACTTCATGGGAGGTTTTTGATGGGACGCTTTTACAGCCTCAGTGGTACACCTGTGTCTCTGTGTTTTAATTTCCTTTTGTCATTAATTATTTTTTATCTCTTTATATCAAGTATCTTTTAGATGAGAGAATGTGTGAATTTCTGACTGTTGATGATTTTTATGAAGTATTATTAGGCAGAACAGTGGGTCTTTGTATTTTGAAATGGAAATAGAAAATGTAGCAATGAAGGGAAAGAGCTAAAATCAGGGACTGATTTTTTTTTTTTTTGCTCAGAACCATTGCAGTTAAATTCCAGTAGCAGTTAAATTCCATTACTTCCAATCTGCCAGCTGTGAGAGGAGTGCAATTTTAACAGGTGAATAAAAAAAAGAAAAATGAGGCAAAGCTCTGAAGGAAAAGCACAAAAGCCATTAAAAAGATGATTTCAGGATGAAAAAAAACCCCACCCCAAATCTCTCAGCAAGTGACAGCTGTGGGTTTAATGGACTATTCTTAAAATGAGATTTATATGCAAACTGCCTACAGAAAGTTAAAAAAGGATTCTAATAACCTATAAATGCTAAAGGTTTTTATCTCAGGCTCAAAAATTTTTGATGGCAGTGGATGGAATGTTATAACACACCATAAATGTCCCCTTTAATGACTGATTCTCTGACCTGATGCCATTGTGAATGATCTGGTAAAAGCACAAAGCAGTTGTCCTGTTACCCCTTCCTCCTCCACTTCTTCCCAGCTCACTGAGTCTGTCAGCATGGGAGTTTTAGTCTCACATGCACCTCATCACAAACTAGATTTTTTTTTCTGCTACAGCTGAAAATATTCCTTATCTCCTAATGCATTCCTTTGCTTTGAAAGAAAGTTTTGAACATGTATGCATGAAATGTTGGATCAAAACTGGAGACTGATCACCAATGTACCCATTGACASATCTTTGACTGATGAATCTTCCCCCAGCTCAGTGATGGGTCTTTATCCATGGGGAGCTTTGGTGAGCAACATCAGTTCACACTGGCTGAAAACCAAGAATATTTCCTGAGTTACAGGAGCCAGACAACCAAACACAACACTTGGCCAATAAATGGGATACTTTAGAAAGTCTTCTACTTTGGACCCACCTATTGCAGACAGTAAAAAAGAAAGGATAGCAAAATTTCATTCTTTAGACATCTGACAAGAGAGCTCTTACAATTTTTGTTTCAATGGGTTCTTTCCCATCTGCTTGCACCTCCTCTGTGCCCGACTCCAGCACACCCAGCAGAGCTGGCAGGAGAAAATACACATGTGTGCTTCTGATTTGTACCGAGCTACCAGTGTGGGCAAGGTGCTGCTGAGTTGTGGGCAGGCTATGTTATTACTGAGCAACCCTTGTTATTAAGAGAGATACCTGCACATATGTTTATTTAAATATCTCGTGTARTGACAGCACGGGTGTAAATACACACACATTACAAGCGTTTGCATACGCCTCTACATTGCCGAAGCAAGGGATATAAGCTAAACAAGCAAATCAAATAATTGCTTTTTATATGAAATACATATATATTTTATATAAAATATCCCCATTAACTACATTACAAAATATTCCCTGGACTTGTAGCTTCAGCAGGCACATGCACAAGTACTTGTGCAATCTGCTTCTYCGTTTAGAGAAATTGTAGGAGGCATTGCTTAGGAAAGCAGAGTTTGTGCAAGCAACACATTGCCTCAGCATCACAGCTTTAGTCATGCTGCTTAGAATTCAGTGGTGACAAAAGCTAAATTCTCCTTCCAATATTAAATATAACTCTGCTTAAACGTGGAAAAGTAGTGTCAATTTCTTAAGCGAGAGCTAAAGTGAAGCTCCCGTTTTTCTTGTGACAATTTTGTAAAATTRCCTAAAAGGTTTCCGAATTTGATTTATTTTTTCTTTCCCCTCTGTATTTAGCAATTCTAGCAGTTAATCTTCCTTCATGTCGCTGCAGATCCGGCAAGGTATAGTGTGTCTTGTCCTTCCCCATCTGCCTGGAGTAGCAGCTGGAAGGCCCCTAGAGAATGTGAGCTCTTCCACCCTTCCAGTGCCAAAACAGGCTTCTGAGTCAAGAACGGGTTTGATCTCTGTCAGCGGTTTTAAAAAGAAATTAAGTTTTAGGGRAAGTGAATCCATAATATTTTGAATAAAAATCACGAAAACATGTTCTCTGAAAAAAGTTAAGCATGACATAAGCACACGGTGAGTTCAAGAGCATTAACACCTGTAATGCTCATGTCATAGTCCGTTTCTAGCMGTGTGGAGTCCTACCGAGAGGAATGATTCATCCCACAGAGATGGAGAGATAAATAATCGCATTTTCGGTGGCCGGGCTTTCTGCCTGTAATACATCTCAGCCATCCGGTAGAAGCCATTGGAACAAGAACGGAGGCAACACTCCATTTCCCAYCCCTGTGGAAGACACCCAGCCCGTCCCGCTCCCCACACCGCACCTTTCAGCCCCGTTCGCTCCCAGCGAGAGCCCGACCGAGCTACGGCCGTACCCGTCCTGACAGCCCCTCCTCCCCCGGGGATGCTGGGGGGCATTTTCCCGCTCCCCGCGGTGGCACCGCGCTCTTCCGCCGCACAGAGTCGGTGACAGCACCAAGAAATTCCGGGGGTGGCTCGGTTTCGGAGGGAGTGAAGGAGCGGGGCCGGGCGGCTGGCCCCGCCGCGCCTTCCCCGTCCCGTCCCGTCCCGTCCCGTCCCGTCCCGTCCCGTCCCGTCCCGTCCCGTCCCGTCCCGTCCCGTCCCGTCCCGTCCCCTGGCAGCCGACCCGGGCAGCGGGCAGCGGGCAGCGGGCGGAGAGCAGAGGCGGGAACCCAGCCCCGCCGCGATGGGAGCCCGGGCGGACACGGGGAGAGCGGAGCCGCCAGCCCGGGCGGGAGGCACCGGSAGTCGCGGGGGCGCAGAGCGGCCCCAGAAGGAGCGGGTGCGGAGCGTGTGCCCCGGGCWGGGTACGCGCTGAGCCGCGGGCGGGGAGGCTGAGGAAGAGAGGAGCGCGCTGAGCTGCGGAGCGGGGAGCGCAAGCGAAAGGACGCGAGGCGGGTACCCAAACCGGGGTCCGCGGGACAGACACCCCGAGCACCGGGACGCACCGAACTGCGGAGCGGGGACCGCTGGAAGGAGCCGCGGGGCGGAGACCTCGAGCAGGGGGACCCGCACGGAGCCGCGGGGCGGGGATCCCGAGCGGGGGTACTTGCACGGAGCCGCGGGGCGGGGACTCCAGGCGGGGCCCCCGGAGCGCGGGACACGGAGCCCGGCGGGGCTGGCGCGGCGGTAGCGGCGAGGCGCGGAGC